AACTTTTTTTTTTTAAACCTAGAAAACCTTGCAGAATTCAGGACTCAATAACGAGTTCAATAATTTTAGGGCTTGCACATCGTTTTCCATGTCCTTTAAACACCTCCACACCTCGGCCCTGTCAATCACATGGGCTGCTTTCATCACAGCAAACTCATTTTCACCCACGAATGATTCCTATTATCACCTTTTCTTTCTCCCTAGCTCACAATTCTCCTTCCCTTTGCCCAACTGCTATTTTGTCTCACTGGGCTCCATCTCTACCTATTGTTTACAATGCTCCGAACATAATGGTTATGTTACATGTCTAATAATCAAGCAATGAGAAATACCTGCAGGCATATTTTGAAATCATGCAATGGGAACTGGGGAATTAAAATGTAATTTAATAACCTAGATTAAAAATTAAGTATCAGTAATGGGGACAAGGAAGCTACAGAATTGTTGTACCCAACTAGTTCAATAACATAATTAGCGAAGGAAACCTACCTTCCTGGTCTGGTCTGTAAGTGACACCACTGATTGCCTTCCTGTGTTATGTGGCAGCTGTGCCTCAGCAATAGCACTCAAATCAGAAGGTTATTGATCCAAAGCTTGAAGACAGCGAAGCATAAAGATTTAACCTGACACTCCAGATTGTACTGAGGAAGTACATTCACTGTTGCTTCATTGTTACAGACACCACCTATTCAATAAAGTATTATACAGAATTCCTATTTTTCCTTTCAGATGAATGCAAAGATAGCATGACATGCATATAGAGATAAATCAATCACTGATGCCTGCAAGTATTGCCCAAGGAAAGCAAGAACATTAGAGTTGCAGAAGTGGAGCTTCAAGCTTCAACTATCAATTGCTGGAAGACAAAGCAACAGTGGGAAGTCGCTGTTTTAACCATGGTTGCTCTAACTTAGTAAAAATAAAACTGTTTTAATGGGATATGGCAGAAGAGACCAAGAATGATGTTGTCCATCTGTCAGAGTCAAATATTAGTGACCTGTCAAAACCGATATCCCTGGGAATAAATCCATATTTTATTCTACCATTGAAATCCAAAAGGTAACACCAGGTCTTATCCAAAACTGGAGGCAAATTCTGCAGCAAATAGTTTTATAATGTACACATGCAGTAGATACTTTGATGGATGTCAAAGGGAAATTGTGTCAGACCAACTTATTAGAGTTTTTCCAAGGAAGACTCAAACAGAGTAGATAGAGGGGAACTTGTAAATATGTTGTATTTGGGCTTCCAGAATATGTTTGACAAGGTGCTTTACAAAAGGCTAAGTCATACGATAAGAATCCATGGTGTCAAAGGTTGTATACTGCCGTAGATAAAGAATTGGCTAATAGGCAGGAAATGAGTGGGAATTAAGGGGTTCTTTTTCAGGTTGGCAACCTATAAACAGTGGGCATCCACAGGGACCAGTGCTTGAACCACAACCATTTACAATATATTAATGACAGGTAAGAAGGAAGCCAAGTATACAAATGACACAAAAATAGGTGGAAAATAAAGTTACAAAGGGAATACAAACAGCTACAGATATTGATACGTTAAGTAAGTGGGTAAAAACTTGGCAAATGGGGTATAATGTGAGGAAAATGTGAAGTTATTCATTTTGGAAGGGAAAACACAGAAAAGTAGAGAGTATTATTTAAATAGAGAAAAGATGCAACACAAACGGACTTGAGATACTTGTGCATGAAACACAAACCTAGCACCTAGATGTAGCAGGTAATCAGGAAGGCTAATAGAATGTGGCCCATATTTCAAGGGGGTGGGATGAAAACAGCAGGGAAGTCTTACTGCGACTATACAAGGTGCTGGTGAAACCTTGGAGTACTGTTGAGCAGTTTTAGCCACCTTAAGGGAAAATATAATTTCACTGGGGTTCAGAGAAGGTTCACTAGATGATCCCTGGTATGGAGAGATTGTCTTATGAACAAAGGCTAAACAGGTTAGGATTCTCACAGGAGTTTAGAAGAATTAGAGGTTACCTCATTCAAACATATAGGATTCTTACAGGGCTTGACAGGGTAAATGCTGAGAAGATCTTTCCATGGAAAAGTCTAGAACCAGAGGGCATAGTCTCAGAATAAAGAGGTGCCAATTTAAGATTGAGAAAGGGAGTAATTTTTTCTGAAGGTTGAGAATCTTTGGAACTTCTTGCCACAGAGAGTTGTGGAGGCAGAGTCCTTGTGTATATTCAAGGCCGAGACAGATAGATTTTTGATCAGTAAGAGAATCAAAAGGTTACGGGGGAAAGGCAGGGAAGTGGAATTGAGGATTGCCGGATTAACTATGATCCTATTGAATGACAGAGCAGGCCAAGGGGACAAATGGCCTACTCTTATTCATACTTCTTATGGTCTTATATAAAGTATTTGGTAATTTATTAGGTTACTTGAGTGAACATATTTCTCTTAAGAGATTACACAGGCTACTCAGGAATCTCAGTAGCTCTGCCATGACCTTAGGTCCAGAAGTATTAACTTCATTAAGTTTTAGTTTAGATCCTAGTGATAAAATCCCATTATTCAATTCCCAAGTAATTGTACCCTTTCAACAACGTATCCCAAAATGTAGGAAATAAAGCTTTAAAACCGTAATAAATGCTCTTCACCTCTTTTATGACTTGTTCAGGTTTTTGTACGGCAAGCTGCAGTCTCTTCTGGAGAAAAAAACATTCCGTTTGTCTGGCAACATCCAAAAACCTTTGGATGCACTGCTCTACACCTGTCAGAATATGAATCAACATATTTGTTTTAAAAAATTCAGGAAGTTTACTAAGTTCTAAAATCTGCATCATAGTAATTAAAAAGAAAAGTGAAAAGTGAAAAATGTCTCAGTGGTAATAAAACAACCTAAGAATTTTCAGTTCTCATCAAGACCCATATGCCCTCTTTTGTTTGTTGTCCAGGGCAGAAAACCTTGTCAGTATTTGCGTGTATTGTTTTGGCTCTATTGGTACAGTTGAAGTGTCCCTATCAGGACTAGGGAAGCTCAGGTACAATTCCCATCTGCTCCAAAGGTGCGTAATAACATCTCTGAATAGACAGATCAGAAAATATCTATGCTTCTAATCAAGAACATTTAGCTGTGCTCTGCTGAATAACTTACGGATCAATATAGTCATTTGTTCTTTTATGTACTCGTGGAAAAGATAGCATGGAAAATGCCACTAGGAAATAAGCTTCTATTCTACATTGGAAAGAGCCAAATTAAAACAGAACTACGAGTTCTTCACCCCTGCCTTCACTCAAGGAAAAAGTCTATCTTCCACTCAGTAACCACCCACTGTATCACAATTTTGAATCTGAAACACAAAGAAGGGATAGTCACAGATGCAGACCAACATTTCCTTTATGATGTTCTGGAACATGTTCAGACACAAAATATTTGTAACACAAGCGTTGTACATTACATCGCTGAAATTACATCACTAAAATTTACTTCAGAAGATCCTAACTCAGAGAACAGACGCATACAATTTCCAATCATATCAGAAAAATAGCAAATAGAAGTTTGAACGAAAATTTAACCAAACAGAGTTTTCTTTTATAAATTTAGTCAGATCACAATAAGGAAGTGAAAGCTATATTTAACTGCAAACAGTCAGGGAGACTGGGATAACACAATAGCTCTAAAAATCAGAATCAGCATAAAGCGTATAAGGAAACAAAAAAAAAAATTAGACACATACAAACAGATGAATACGATTAGACCACTGAGCCCCTTGAGCCGGTTCCGCCATTCAATAAAATCAAAGCTGATGTTTGTATTGAATTATACATTCCCATCTACTCCCAATAACCCTCGATTCCCCTGCCTAAGAAGAATCTATCCAGCTCAGTCTTAAAAACATTCAATGACTTCTTTATGACAATACCCTTACAACTACCAATCAGTACTCTCTTCTCACATGGTACGAAACATTTTCCCTTTAACAGTGGTATTTCTCATGAATTGTCATGATGAGTTCAAGATGAAAAGCTTTTTTCAGCAATACACAAAGAGAACACAAAAATCCTGTACAATGGGGAAAGATACAAAGAATAGCAGGACAATGCAAGTTGTGAGAACTAAGAAAAGCCGAATATGAAAAGAAATGCAGAAATATCAAAATTAAAACAAAAGCTTCTACGACTATATATAGAAAAAAGGTGATTGAGAGAAATATCTGGAGGTGCCAGTGTTGGACTGGGTGGACAAAGTCAGAAGTCAAACCACCCCAGTTTACAGTCCCAACAGATTTATTTGAAATCACAAGCTTTCAGAGCGCTGCTCCTTCTTCAGGTGAAGTAAAGTCACTACACCTGACGAACGGGCTATGGTCCGAAAGCTTGTGATTTCAAATAAACCTGTTGGACTATAACCTGGCATTGTGTAACTTCTGACTGAGAGAAATATGATCATTTTGAAAATTTATAAAGGTGATAAAAGGCAATAATATGAATTGTAACTGTGCATCAGTGTAGTAAGAACAAAATAAGATTTTATAAAAAGGAGTTCCATCAGAAGTACAATGACTAATACTGAAAGGCATTTTAATAGGCACGAACTTTGAACACAAATGACTGGAAAAGAACGCTGTACATTTTAAGACATGTGGCAACCTTGTAGCAGACAAGAGTATAAACAGATTCCTGTAAGACAGGATAGGAGAAAGACATACAATGGAAGATTTATGACAATCCCAAAAACTGAGTTTGCTGTCACTGCTACCACAAATAGAGACCATTTAAAAACAATTAAGTTGTATTAGGTAATCCGAGGAAACATTCAAATTAAGACTTAATAGGTAAAGAAGTTGAATAAAAAGTGGGTGTTGAACGGGTACTTCAGAATTTGATTAGTAATAAAACTGAAAACTTAATTTAAAATTGTAACATATTTGAATTCCCTGCCTAAAATCTGCAAGGTTTTCTTTAACTGCTTAGCATATGCTTAACGATTGTGGCTAATAAACCTGAGACTTCTAACTTTTAATAGGGTAAACTTTATTATTTTGAGAAAGACCTAAAGAGTAAGAACAGTGGACTCAGTAAAAATATGAACATTATCCTACGTTTCATAAATAGTGACATGGAATACAAAAATATAAGTAATACTAAATCCATACAAATAATAATTTAGGCTAGAGTTCAAATATTGCCATAATTTCCAATTTTTGCATATTTTGTCATACCTCTCTTTGTCAATCATCAAACCACTGTTACCAGATATTCCAATAACATTAATGATGATCAAAATGAGGTGCTGTTTCCTACATTTTACAATTTTGAACAGTATATTCAGCCTAATGTATGCAAACGGATTATTTAAAGTAACATTAGAATGGTTCACACCAATTTTGTAATGGGTCAAAAATGTTTTGAGAAATGTTTCTGCCATAATATGACACTGTATCACATCCAAATGCTCACTTCTCAGGTCTTAATACAAGGTATGTTTGAAAAGAAAGAACAATCAACTGAACTACTGGCTTCAACACATGACCCCTAAACAATGCAAAGCAACACTTGAAATACATTTGATTATTGGCTGAACTAAAAGGATATATATCCTACAAGCATATTTTACATTATTACATGTGCTATTCCAGGAAGTCTCACCTGTTCTAATTTCTTCTTGATCAGTACCATTCACATAGTCTTGACTGACCAGTGATGCAAAGCATGCCTACAAGAAATTCACAGTTAATGCTTCCAATACACTAATGTTTAGTTAACAGAAACAATCTTGAGTAAGGATATATTTTATGTCCAATTACAATTGCTTTAGCAGATTCAAGGATTCTGTGGAAATTGAGCAAAAAAGTGCAAGGAAAATATGTAAATTAGCTTACTGGTGGAGAAAGCTTAAAGATAATTTAACGGACACGCTAATTCATCTCACATCAAGATATCATTCCATTTTGCTCTCACTTATCTAGATCCCCCTTAAATCCAACTGCGCTAATCACTTCAACCATTCCTAATAAGTTCCATGTCAGTACAGTGTTTCGGAATAGTTAGGCAGTTGTTTTGACTGCCACAGACTATGGGCTTTTCTGTTCTACAGACCTCAGACTCTGTCACTACCAAGTTTCTCCTGAATTCCTTAATGGATTTATAAATGGATATTTTGTATTCATACCCCTTGGTTTTGGACTTTGAACTATTTTGAATACTCTCACACCCCCCGAGATTTGGGTTTGCTTGCAGGAAAACTAACTTAATTTCTAATATTCATACCTACTTTTAAGACCTATTTTGCATCATAACTCTCCTCTCTTACTATTAGCACTCCATTTGTCTTTTGCTTTGAGCACACATACCATCTGCTGCACTTGCTATATCTCTCCCTTTCTTAATGGCACAAAATAAAATCATTTTCTATCCCATTCAGTTCCAAAGAAATCACGTCGTACTCAATGATCTCTTTTCACAGATTCTGGCAGACCTCAGTTTCGTCAGCAATTTTTGAACCTATTTTTGTACTTGACCTTTATCGTTTTATTCCTTTATAAAATCACAACTTGCCATATTCAACTTACAATGCATATTATGAAACTCACAACATAAGCTTTTCTCGATCTCATTTCACAGTCTTTATCTAGCCGCTGAAAATTTAGATGCCTTTCTACCATCCTCATAGAAATGTGCAGTTTCTGTACCCAAACAATGGTGATCACGCAACTACTGCTTCAATTATCGGAAAAGGCCCATCTGGTTCATTAACATCCTTCAGGAAAGGAAATCTGCCAACTTCACCTGGTCTGGCCTACATATGACTTCAGACTCTCAACTGCCCTCTGAAATGGCCGAGCAAGCCACTCAGTTGTATCAATTGCTACAAAGTCTAAACCAAGAAATGAAACCAGACAAACCACTTGGCATTGACCCAAGTACCAGAAAAGACAACAGCAAAAAAAACCCTGTTGACCTGAAAAGTCCTGCTTTCTAACTTCTGGGGTCTGGTGCCAAAGTTGGGACAACTGTCTCACAGGCGAATCAAACAACAGCCTGACGCAGTCATATTCATGGTATCATAGGATGTCCCAGCCACCACCGTTACCATCACTGGATATGTTCTGTTCCACTGGTAGCAGTTGGAAGGGAGTTGCCTTGGGATTCCTCAACATCGACTCCAAATCCCACAGAATGCCTTGGCATCAGGTCAAACGTGGACTAGGAAACCTTTCTTGATTACCAGCTACTGTTGTCCCTCAGGTTGACGAATCAATACTTCCCAAAGTTGACAACACTTGGAAGAAGCAGTGAGGGTGGCAAGAGCACAGAATATATTCTGGGTATGGGATTTCAATGTTCAACACCAAGAGTGGCTCAACAGCAACATCACTGATCAAACTAACTTGGTCCCAAAAAAACACAGCTGCTAGACTGGGTTTGCAGGTGCTGGATGGGACAGAACAAGAGGGGGAAAAGACATACTTGACCTCATCCTCACCAATCTGCTGGCTGTAGACGCATCTGACCACAACAGTACCAGTAAGACTTACCACTCCACAGTCCTTATGAAGACAAAGTCCGACTTCACATTGGGAAAAACCTCCATCGTGTGGTGTGGCACTATCACCATGCTAAATGGGACAGGCTTCGAACAGACCCAGCAACTCAAGACTGGGCATCCATGAGGTGCTGTGGATCATCGACAGCCATAGAATCATACTCAAACATAATCTGCAGCCTTGTGGTCCAGCATATCTTCCACTCTACTGTTACTATCAAGCAAGGGAGTCAACCCTGGTTCAATGGAGAGTGGTGGAGGTCATGCCAGGTGCAGCAACAGGCACACTTAAAAATGAGGTGTCAATCTGGTGAAGCTACCAAACAGGACTACTTGTATGCTAAACAGCATAAGCAGCAAGCGTCAGACAGAGGTAAGCAATCCCACAACCAATGGATCAGATCTAAGCTCTGCAGTCCTGCCACCTCCGGTTGTGAATGGCAGTGGACATTTCATTGGAGGGGAAGGCTCCACAAATATCCCATCTTCAATGCTTTAGGAGCCCAACACATTAGTGCAGAAGATAACACTGAGGTACCTGCAATAATCTTCAGTCAGAAGTGCCAAGCGAATGATCCATCTCAGTCTCCTTCAGTGGTCACAAGCACCACAGGTGCCTATCTTTATCCAATTTGATTCACTCCACACGATATCAAGAAACAGCTGGAGGCACTGGATACTGCAAAGGCAATAGGCTCTGACAACATTCCGGCAACAGTACTGAAGACCTGCAAGCCGGAACTTGCCACTCCCCTAGCCAAGCTGTTCCAGTACAGTTATAACACTGGCAACTTCCCACCAATGTGGAAAATTGCCCAGGTATATCCTGTACACAAAACGAAGGACAAATGCAACCTGTCCAATTACCATGTCATCTGTCTACTTTTGATCATCAACACTGCTATCAAACAGCAGCTGCTTAGCAACAACCTGCATGCTCACTGATATCCAGTTTGCGTTCCCCCAGGGCCGCTCAGCTCCTGAGCTCATTACAGCCTTGATTCAAACACTTTCAAAAGAACTAAACTGCAGAGGTGAGGTGAGAGTGACAACCCTTGACATCAATGCCACAGTTGATCGAATGTGGCTTCAAGGAGCCATAGCAAATCTGGAATCAATGGGAATCAGAGGAAAACCTCTCTGCTGGCTGGAGTCATACCTGGCATATAGGAGGATGGTTGTGGTTGTCAGAGGTTGGTCATCTCAGCGCTAGGACATCAGTGCAGAAATTCCTCAGGGTAGTCTCAATCATCCAAATATGCTTCATCAGTGTCCTTCCCTCCACCATCAGGTCTGAGGTAGGGATGATTACACCATGCTCATAGAATCATAGAATCCCTACAGTGTGAAAACAGGCCCTTTGGCCCAACAAGTCCACACCAACCCTCAGAGCATCTGACCAAGACCCATCTCTATAACCCAACTAATCTACACATCCCTGAACATTATGGGCAATTTTGCATGACCAATCCACCTAGCCTGCACATCTTTGGACTGTGGAAGGAAACCGGAGCACCCGGAGGAAACCCACACAGACACAGGGAGAATGTGCAAACTCCACACAGACAGTCGCCCAAGGGTAGAATCGAACTTGGGTCCCTGGTGTTGCGAGGCAGTAGTTTTAACCACTGAGCCACCATGCTGTCCCAGCAGCACCATTCACGAGTTCTCAGATACTGTACAAAAACAAGGCCTGGACAATATCGAGGCTTGGGATGAAAAGTGACAAGTAACTTATGCACCACACACAAATGTCAAGCCATGAACATCTCCAACAAGGGAGAATTGTCCACTATCAACACCAAGAGGCTTACCAGTGATCAGAAACTCAACTGGATTCACCATACAAATATATGCGCTACAACAGCAAGTTAGAGGCTCAGAAATCCTGCAGCAAGTAACGCATCTCCTGGTTCCCCCAAAGACTGTCCACCACCTACAAGGTCAGGAGTGTGATGGAATACTCCACACTTGCCTGGATAAATGCAGCTCCAACAACACCCAAGAAGCTTGACAATGTTCAGGCAAAAGTAGACAACTTAATTGGCACCACATTCGCAAGCATCCACTACTGATGCCCAGTAGCAGCAGCATGTACTATCTACAAGATGCACTGCAGAAATTTGCAACAGAATCTTAGGCATCACCTTCCAAACCCATAATCACTTCCATCGAGAAGGACAAGGACAGTAGATACGTGGGAACACTGCAATTGCAAGTTTCTCTTCCAGTCACCATCATGACTTAGAAATATACCAACGTTCCTTAACTGTTGCTGGGGCAAAATCCTAAAGCCGCCTCCTTGACAGCACTGTGGATCTACCTATATGGTTTACAGCAGTTCAAAAAAGCAGCTCACCACCACTTTCTCAAGGGCAACTAGGAGCAGGCAATAAATACTGGCCAGCCAGTGATGCCTACACCCCAAAAGTGAATCGAAATAACTAATCCTCCTCCAGCTAAATGTTTTTACATTTTATCAAAACTTGTCCTTTTCCAAGATTACTCTCAACCTGATATTACGATCACCATTGCCCAAACATTCAGCCATAAAACGGCATCACTTCTTTTGTTCAAAACTGAATGCATTGTTTCCTTCCACACTGGCTTTGAAACCCCTGCGCCCCCCCCAACCCCAACCTTTATCTTTACCTTGTTACAATTTCATTTTCTCATCCCTTGTCCTGTCATAGCCCCAGTGACAGTCCCAGGCTCCATCTGCCTACCCGCTCACACCTCTCCCCCACCCCTCACCTCTCCAGACCCCCCTTTCACCTCTCCATCTTCCCTTATCCTCAATCTCTTCCCCTTCACTCCGATGTGGCTACTACCTCAAATGATGCCTCCAGCTCGTCCACCAGAGTGCTAGGAGGCCGCGCCGGAGCCGCAGGGAGACCGACCGCTGTCGGTCCTTGGGGTCCGGGTCCAGGAGGCGGAGGAGGCGGCGGCGGCGGCGGCGGCGGATTCTGTGGCGGATGCGAGAACATCCCAGTCAGCGAAGAGGCCATCTTGTGTCAACGGCACTGCGCACGCGTACTCCTGCCCCATGAGGGGGCGGGGGGGAAAACGCGGGGCGGGGCCTGGGGTAGGAAGGGGCACATCCGGAGCCAGAAAAACAAAGTCATTTTATTCCTACATTTGAAACATAAGGATTGGAGGTTGTGGTTCAGCCTGCTGTGCATTCCAGTACCATTGTGGGTAATCATCCACTTTAACTGCCTTTTCTCACTATCTCCATAGCCTCTCTGCTCCTATGATGCTGCTTGGCTTGCTGTGTTCATCCAGCCCTGCACCTTGTTGTCCCTTTTATGGGATTTGTATTTAGAAACCATTTAACCCTACTTTAAATGTACTCAAGGACAGAGCTCCTACAGGGTAGATAATTTTCAAAGATTCACAACTCTGAGTATAAAATGATCACCTCAGCTTGATCCTAATTGGCTTCTCCTTATTTTGATAATGTCTGTCGGGTTCTGGACTCCCCACTTTGGCGAGTCAGAACCAGATAAACCCTGTCTAACCTTTTCAGCATCTTGTAGGTTTCAATTAGGTTTTCTGTAATTCTTTGAAACTCTGTCCAATACGGGCCCCGTTTCTCCAATTTCTTTACATCGTCCTCAACCCCCCCCCCCCCAATACTGGGAACAAGTCTGGCAAACCTTTGTTGCATTCCCTATATAGCAATAATATCCTACCTACCTACTGTAGAGCATTTCTAATCAATCTGTTCATAGTTGTTATTACATACCTCTGGGGCTGATGGGGGCTTAACCCAGTTCTCCTGGCCCAGTGATAGGGACGCAACCACTGCACCATAAGGTCACCTCTTGCCTAATGTAAGGAATCCAAAATTGCACACTGTGCAGTGCATCAAAGGCTCTACACAATTGAAACAAGACTTCACCACTCCTGTACTCAAATCCACTAGCGATAGGAATCAAGATGGTTGCAGAGTAGGGCTTCCATACCAGACCTAATCTGCTCTGTCATTTTTTTTATTTTACCCCTTCAACTTACCTCGAATGGGGTCTGCAGCAAACGGGAGGCGAGTTCCCAGGGCAGTCTGAAGTCAAGGCCAGGTACAGCCTGGGGACGAGTTTCAACTCTAGCACACACATTGGAGACGAGTGTAATTCTGAACTTTTTGTTTTTTTTTCTAATTTATTCCTATGTTTTGCATTTTTGTACCTAATGCTGGACTTTTTATTCCTTTATTTTTCCAGTTATTCGTAAGAATCTGTACCTGGGGGCCTTAGTACCCATGATAGCTCCCAAGTGGTAAATTGTAAACTTTTCACTGTACTGACGTGAGTACATGTGACAATGAAGCTAATTCGAATAACTAATATAGCTTTCCTAAATGCTAGCTTCATCTATATGTTAGCCATGGGGTGGCACTGCAGCCTCACAGCGCCAGGGACTTAAGTTCGATTCCACCCTCAGGCAACTGTCTGTGTGGAGTTTGCACATACTCCCTGTGTCTGCTTGGGTTTCCTCCTACATCCAAAGATGTGCAGGCTATGGTAGGCCATGCTAAGTTGCCCATAGTATGCAGGGATGTGTAGATTGGATGAGTTATAGGGGGATGGGTCTGGGTGGGATGCTCTGAGGGTTGGTGTGAACTTGTTGGGCCGAAGAGCCTGCCCCCACACTGTAGGGATTCGATGATGTTTAGTGACTTATTGATGTAGACTCCCAAGTCCCTTCATACTCTCAAATCAAGCTCATCAGTGATGATTTTTCACCTCTCTGGAGTAGGTGGGACTTGAACACAGGTTACCTGGCTCAAAAATAGAGACACTACCACCGTGTCACAAGAGTCCTACTTCATACTTTCTAACCTTATTCCATTTAAGAAATACTGTGTCCATCTATTCTTCCTACCACCGTGGATAACCATGATGTGGAGGTGCCAGTGTTGGACTGGAATGGACAAAGTCAGAAATCACACGACACCAGGTTACAGTCCAACAGGTTTATTTAAAAACAAAGCTTTCGGAGCCTCCGTCCTTCTTCAGGTGTTAGTGAGAGAGGTAGCATCAGACACAAAGATCAAAATAAAAGTATAAGATCAAAGGTTCACACCATTGATGAGGATGTCCTAAACAAACCTAAGATGTTGTTAAATCTTTAATCAGTTAGGAGGTTTTAATTGACTAATATGTATATGTAAATCCCCAAATTCCTTTCAAATCACAGTCCTGAGAGAACTAAAGGTTTTATTAGTGTTAAGGAGAGGTGACATTTTAGGTCACACAATGCGTGTCAGGCGTGACACCTTAAATTGCTCGATTTTGGTAAACATGCCAGCAATCTTTATTGTTCTTGTGTCAAAATGACACATTATACATGTGGGATAATTATTGTTTTCAATGTAAGTTACATTTACTTTATCACATTGTGCATTGTTTCAATCATTGTCCAACATACTGAATGAAGGACTATCATGTGACTATCTTCATCAAGGATAGTCAGATAGCAGTCTATTGTTCTGTATGCTGAAAAAACTTCCACCATTTTTTCTGGGACTAGTGGGGAAAATTTTCTAGGTTGATTTTCATGTTCAAAATGAGCACTATCTCATTTATGTCCTTCTGAAGTTTCCTTCCCAAAGTTCACAATGCTTTTAAGATGTTTATCATCCACAAATGTTGAAGTTGTACCCACTTCACAGAGGTCCAAGTCATTAACGTGTATTAGGTTGAGCAAAGGTACTAATACTGGCCCCTGTGGAACCATACTACAAACCTTCCTCCTGTCCAAAAAACATCCATCAACCACGACCATGTATCCTGCCACTGGGCCAATTCTGTGTCCATGTTGCTACAGTCCTTTTTATTCCATGAATTTTGTTCACAAGTTTGTTGTTCTGACATATACTAAAGCGTTGATCTTCACTGGAACTTTATGTTAAGCTAAGATGCACATTGTGAGAGCAAGGCTGATCTCTTGGCTTGATAGTCATTGTAGTGAGAGGAGTATGCAAGAGCAGCCATAGACAGTGGTTGAATGCAGCTCTCCATCTGCTGATGATCCAGAGGCTCACGGATGGCCAGTTTTGAGTTGCCAGATCAGTTTTCGATCAGTTGAACATGGCAGCAGTACCACAAAACACATTGGAGGGTATCCTTACTGTTAAGACAGCACGAATCAACAAGAATTGTCACTCCTACTATCATAGACAGATATATCTGTAATAGGTAGATCAATGAGGGCAAAGTCTAATCATTTAATGGCATCAGCTAAGGTCTAATTAATTTTCATGATCAGGTGTCATTAGGGAATTACCAGCACTAATTGTACGGAAAATTTAGGACAGCTAGCTGCATGAAATGCATGGATTTCTCCTTGTTGTCAGTTTCCTCACCACCTGCTCCATAGCCAGTATGGTAGGATTTTTTTTCAGGGCTCAGCCAGCTGAGTCAGAGTGTGGACAATGAAATCACTGCATTCAGAGTTTACTTTGTGTGCTCGCTACTTTCTGCTCCTTCCAAATTGTGTTCAGATGGTAGTTCTCCCCTTTCCATGTCTGATCTGATGCTATGAGACTTCAGAAGATTTGTAGTCAACTTGAGGACTCCCAGGTCTTCTCATTCACAGCTGTGTATCAGTGTGCCAGCAAGACTGATTACACCTTTGCTATTTTTGAATCTGAGCTCAATGCTGGATGGCCTACCCAGTTTTATTGTTGTTCAACATTTCTCTCTTAGCTTGATAAAACAGATTTTCAATGGTGCAGTTAAGAGCATCGTGGGTCTGGAATTACACATAGGCCAGACTGCCTAAGGATGATGATTTCCTTTCCTGAAAACCATGCACCTGTTGAATTCTGATAATTCATTAGGTTCATGATTATTCCTGAAACAACATAAACTACATAGATATGCACTTCAAGTGTCATGAGCTACATAGCTATATGACAAAATGGAATGGTCAGTACAAATACAACAGAACGACTGGCCTCCTCCTCGGTCATATTTTCTATACTTCTGATTACCCTTGTAAAATTTGAAGATCAATACTGTCCACATTCAGGAATTATTCTCCATCTATTAATTTGAGAGCATCCGACTGTGACTGTCAATATTCTAAGTTTTGCAATTACAGCTGAGATCAGTTAGAAATTATTGTTATATCTAGTTTATTCTTTATTGTTTTGGCTAACATCTTCATTTTGAGTATTACAATATTACAAAAATACTCATGTTTAATCATATTGAACGCTTGATCTACGTGTCAGCTTTTCCTGTGAACGGCAAAGACTTTTCAACAATGATCATTAATTATCAAAATCCATAGGTTTTTACAGTTTCAGTATTTGTAAAAGGCACTGGGAACACTGCAGATTTTGTGTTGCTGCAAAATAGGTGTCCTTTTAACATAAAATGAACAGTTGCACAATGAATGATGGAAGTTATGGTTTGGAGGAGAAAAAAAATCACCATTTAAAGCCTCTATAAACAAGTGTCAATCATGATAAGATTCTTCTTCAACAGAGTTTGCAAGATAAAATCGTGCATCCTTTTTTATTTAATTACCATTTTTCCAAATGCAAAAATAATCAAAACTTAACCTATCAGAGATACAAAAGGGGTATTTATATGGGCAATGAAATTGTGAAATCCATGTAATTTAAACATACAAAAGAAAAAGTGGGCACATCTTTAAAAGGACAATTTAAGAATTTTGGCTTTCGTGACTCAGGTAGGCTGTAAATTCCACTAATGTCCTGGTTGGTCTTCCCGCCATTCCCTTCCGCAGGTATGGAACTTCATCTTTGTTTGACATAACACCAGCTATGTCAAGATGAGCCCAGTGAGATACTGTAACAAACTCTCGCAGAAATGCTGCAGCTGTACATGCACCACCAGACCTGCAGGAACATATCAGAGCACAGTGAAATTATCAAGAGGCAGAAAATATACATTTTTGAAATCTTACCATTCATTTATAAATCAGAAATACCCTTCCTCAAAGATTCACAAAAAATAATAAAACAAAACATTAATTTTTGTTCCATTTTTCTCTGCATAATTTCTGCTCATT